CCCCAAAATAAGGTACCCCAAACTTTCGGAAACCCCAAACAACGGAAGCCCTGAAAGGTTGGGACTTCCTGGGCCTTTTCTTAATCTCCTGGGACGTGCTCTTCATTCCCTACGAGGCCCGGATGGGCGTCATTTCAAGCCTCCGGAACAAGGGTTTAGGGTTGAGAGTTTACGGTTTAGGGTTGTAGAAGTTTAAAGTTTAGGTTTGTAGGCTTTAGGGTTTTGGGTTTGGGGTTCACGGCTTAGGGCTTAGCATTTACGAGTCTCGGGTTCTAAAGACCCGGAACACTTATCCGACCGCTCCATGTATCTGTATAGTAGATACTCAGGCCTCAGGCCTTAAAGTACCTCTAAGCCTCTAAGATATATGGGAGTTTCCGAAAACTAGGGGTACCTTATTTTGTGGCCTTCATAATAAGTATCCTACTCTTTAGAGTACCATATTAGGATCCCCTATTTTCGGAAACTCCCATATTAGAGAAGTAGATAGGCACATGGCGTCTTAGGAACGCTTAGCAGTTTAGAGTTTAGGTCTGGGGCCGAGTCTTCGAATGGCAAGAGTAGTACCCTATGCCTCCGGGGACCTTATTATTAGTCCTTAAGGGGTCTACCCAGAGAGCCCAATACCCCTTAATTAAGGAATATAGCTTAAATCATAATTTGAACCCCTATATAATTTACGCTATATTCCTTAATTAAGGGGTATTGGGCTCTCTGGGTAGGGCCCTAGCTATGAAGTCCTTGGATGGATAGGGGTAACTTGTAAGCAGACTCTTCAGGATTGGGTTTCTGATGGGGGATAGTACTGTAGCAACGATTTCTGGTGATAAGATAGTGACGATCATGTTCCCCTAAGGGTCCAGGTACCTGATTATCATATACTCCCCCAAGTAGTAACCTACATAACTACTATCCTAAGGCCAAGTACCTGGGGTTCAGGGTTGGGGCGTGTAGGGTTGACGAAGCTGGGCTCGAGGCCGTGGGGAGTGCTGGAGAATTTTGCTTTCAGGGTTGCCGATTGCTTAGAGTCCCAGGGCCTAACCCTATCCTCCAAAGTCCTCATAGTTAGGGCCCTGGATCCCTGCAGGACCCCAAAATAAGGTCCCTGGAGGCATTAGTAAAGATATAGGCCGCAGGGTGTGGCGTCTTTTTGGGTTGAGGGCTAGCTTTTGGTTGTGATAGGGCCTGGGCGCTTGACCTTGCTGCGAGGGTGCCAGTCCTCTTCTACGGTCCGGTGCAACCCGTCGTGCTCACAATCGACGGCCATCCTTATCATCATGCCTGTCCTACGGTGGATGATATAAATCCTGCATTACCTGAAGGACCCTAAACCCTAAACTATGGGAATTATGGTATATTCCTTCTTATGGGTAATGCAGGATGTGTATCATCAACCGTAGTAACTAGATCGTCGAAGGGCACATTGGCAGACAGGGTGCACACCGAAACGCCCTCAACAGTTCAAGGTTTCCTAAGCCCCACGCGGGGGTGTTCATTTCCAAGTACACATCAGAGAGTTTGAGAGCACTCTTATTGTATCCAGTCTTTACTGTGTTGGGGCATGTGTTTCCCAGCCATTGAGAGTTGAATTTTCCGGAACGTGCACACTGTGCTTCAGTTTCTTTTGGGGCGTGGCTTTCGTTCCCCTTGCCACATAATACATGGTGGACAAGGAACTGGAGAGCGCCAACTAGCAGGGCCGAGACACTTGAAGATCCCCCGGTTTGGGGTTTAGGGTTTAGGGTTCGGAGAAGGTATTTGGGTTTAGGGTTTAGGGTTTAGGGTTCGGAGAGGGTATTTGGGTTTAGGCTTTAGGGTTTAGGGTAGGGTTTAGGGTTCGGAAAGGGTTTAAGGATTCAGCGTTTAGGGTCTAGGGTAGGGTTTAGGGTTCGGATAGGGTGTTTGATCGCCTTCTCCGAAGATCATGGGCCAATTCTCCGAAGATCATGGGCCAAATCTCAGAACTTCTGCCACTCCACTTCGATGATTCTACGACGACGGAACTTTCGACCACGGCTGTGACAAATGCCAGTGGTGCACTGAGGCCTCCCTCGAACATCGTGATGCCACAGGTTCGTGCCCTCGGTTGGACATGCGGCAATTCGCCACCACAGTCTCACGAACCAGTTCTCCCACAAGCCACAAGCTCCGGCAGCCTCCAACGTCTAGAATGACACAGAGCCGGCCTAAAAGAGGTCGTAAACGGACAAACCTCGAAGCTTCAAGCCATATTCTAAGAGCCATCTTGACCTTGAATCCTAAACCCTAAACTCTAAACCGTACATGAACTCAAATCCGCAACCTATACCGCAGCAAAACACACAGACACACAGACACTGATGGGATCCAGCCTCACGAAGCCCGACCAGCCTGCTCCAATCCTACCGTAAACCCCTAAACCCCAGCAAACCCCAAACAATGAACCCCTAAACCCTAAAGCCCAAACCTTAAATTAAGCCTTACTTAAAGCCCTAAACCCGAAACCCCAAACCTTGTATTAATCCTTACTGAAATCCCAAACCCTAAACCCTGAACCCCAAACCTTAAGTTAAGCCTGACTCAAACCCCAAACCCTAAACCCTCAACCCCAAACCTTTAGTTAAGCCTTACTTAAACCCCAAACCCGAAATCCTAAACCCCAAACCTTATATTAATCCTTACTGAAACCCCAAACCCTAAACCCCAAACCTTAACCCCCAAACCCTCGTCAAGAAATGTGATTGAAGTTGCCAAAATTTCAGGTTCCTCTAAGGGTTCCGTTGAGGGTTCTGTCAGGTTTCTACAAAGGTTTAAATAGGAGGTTAAGTAACCTAACAAACCCCTGAGCCCTTCCTGCAGTTGGCTTTCGATCCCGAGTCGAATCTGGCGTGGAGCTGAGCTCGAGTCGAAGCAACTTAGATCCCCAATAGTGGCCTTAAAGAGTTTCTTCCCAAACCATTGGGGTTTTGGTTTTAGGGATTTTGGGTTTTGAGTTTTGAGTTTGGGATTCAGAGTGTGCTAGGTAGCTCTTGAAAGAATTTAGCCTTAATACTTAGAATAGGGTTCCCGTTGAAAGGGGTCTATATATAAGCGCTACTACAAGGGATCTATAAGGGTACTGTGATATAGGGGCCTTAATCTTAGATCCCCAATACGGGATCCTTGGGTTCTATAGGGGTTTTAGGGTTCCTTTAAAGGGATCTATAAGGGTTCCTTTAAGGGAGCTATACTTAGATCTCCAATACCCAGCCTTTAAACTTATTGGGTTCTTCTGGTTTAGTAGGAGCCGGAAAGTTTAACCTTTCATTTCTGTGGCCTATTGGAGAAGTAAGGCAAACAACTCTCCCCAAACCATGCGGGTTTTGGTTTTAGGGATTCTGGGTTTTGAGTTCAGAGTTTTGGATTCAGGGTGTGCTATGTAACTCTTGAAAGAAAACAGCTTTTGCAGACTCTCAAGAAGCAGACAATTAAACATGTCAATTGGTCTTCAGAGTATAGGGTTCTGAGGTGGCAGATCCCCGTGGTCAGGATTTGGGCGGCAACATTCCAGGTGTACTGTTAAATGTGGCCGTTCTGGACCTCTAAAACCACAGTAAAACCCTAAACCCTACCCTGGGATGAGGCTTTTTGGGCCCCTGCTAGGGGTTATGAGGGTCGAGCTGGACATCGATGCATACACACGACGCTACAAGCGTTTAGGATTTAGCGCGGCGCAAGCTTCGATTCCCCCTAACATTTAATGACATTGAAAACCTTGTTCACAGCTTCCTGTGGCATCCTTCGTGCAAACCAAGGAAGCTAGCAAGCCCTGGCTGACATCACCTTCCACCCCAACATCAATATCGGTGTCGTCTGCAGTAGGGTTCCTTTCCAAAGTAGTAGAGTCGACATATTCGGAATTGGGAACCCCAGACCCTAAACATCCCCAGGCCCTGAACCCGAAAACCACACGTTACTACAAAATGGATCTTGTGAAGATAACCTGCTCGAAGCCCATAACGAAAGGAGTCGGTAGATTTATATAGTGCATTATTCCCATGGGTTCATGAGTTTTTTTGGTTTTATTTGTATTGATAACATAATATTATGAATAAAAGTTCTGTTGTCGTTATCAAACTCTCAGCCCTTGCCGTGAAACTTATCTAGCCCGATGCCCTCCGCCTTTTGGGGTTTATAGGGTTTAGGGTTTGGATTTGGGGTTTAGGGTGGTAGGGATTTCAGTGTTTAAGGCTGATGACCTCCCACGTGAGCGGGAACTGGTCCCATAGTCTTCGGGCAACATCTGTTCCCAAATTAACTGTAGTAGAATTTTACAGGGTCCCCCAGACACCAGTCTAGCTGTTCAGTCCCGTTTTTCTGAAGCCTCGCGATTTACAGTTTAGGGCTTAGCAGGTCCTTAAACGCAGTTCGGTAAATCTCATACATGAGAGAGAACTCACATCTCTTAAAAAAACCATGTAGACCTCCGAGCCACAACTCGGTCTCTCTCTCTCTCTCTCTCTCTCTGTCTGGAGTGGCTTAGGCTTCCATGACACGGAAAGACCTTTCGGGAAAATAACATTCGAAGCCTGCTTGAGGAGCCATGTCCTCTTAGGTTTACTTGTAGTAATTGTTGCCACAGCCTATAAGCACCTCTCCTAGAGAGCATGCATCAAACTCAGTCAGGAAACGCTATGAAGTCTGATCGTCTCTCGCAGTGCATATCTTGGCCTGGCTTTTGGCTTTCGAAGGATCAATCCACAGACACCCCGAATTCAGGGTGTTGAGGAGTACTAGAGTAAACGCTGGGTTCACTCCTGCAACTATCATGTTGTTTGCACCCTTGGTCATTTCCATTGGACAGCAGTCCTTGGACAGCAAGACGACAGGGCCCAGACCTTCCAAAATCCCTTAATTAAGGAATATACCTTAAATCATATTAGGGACCTTACTATAATCTAAGGTATATTCCTTAATTAAAGGATTTTGGAAGGTCTGGGGGTTTGGAGTTTAGGGCAACGGTGCGGCCGACGACAGCTGCAATGGCGGGGAGCGAGCATGAGGCCCCAACAGGGGTCGGGTTGCTGTAGGATTCGAGGGTCGGGACACCGGGGCGGAGCTCTAGAAGTCCGAGAGCCAGTGCTATCAGCACGTTCGCTGTCCTGTCACACTTAGGAATTTTCGATTTCTTTCGGTGAGTTGTATGGTTTCACTTGCAGGTCTAGCAGCAGAATGTAGAGTTTATTAAGATCCTTCATACAAAACCCTCCGACTGGCACTGACCTTCTGATCAATCCTGTCCGTCTCTCCCTCTCGAGCTCCCTCCTGCAAGACACCGGCTTTCTCTCGGCACGTTACTCAATGTGATTCTCACTGCGCCTTTCATGCCTTCCCAGCAACTGCAAGAATTTACGATGCTTCGTGCATCCAAGGAGGATGCAAACAGCCATCCCGCAGCACCTCCTGAGTCGGTTGACCCTAATTGGGGTTATGGTACTTATAAGTCCCTAAAGTAACCAGTTACTAAGTCCCCCGACCCTCCAAGCAGCCTCGTTTTCGCGGATCACAACGCAGAGGATGGGCGACACCCAAATGCTCCATGCACCTTTATAGGAGATACTTAGCCTTAAGGGGGTCCTAATATGGGCACTTTCAGGCCTAAGTATATACTATATGGGTACCATGGACCCTTATGCCCTAAACCCTAAAGGAACCCTTTATAGAACCCCTTAAAGGAACCCTTGAACGAACCCCCAGTATGGATACATGGAGCCTTCGGGACAGTTCTTGACCCCAAACCCTAAAGCCCTAAACCCTGAAATGCCGTTGCACTTTAAAAAAAAGAAACCTTAAAACCCTAAAACCCTGAACCCGAAACCCTTACAACCCTAAACCCCAGGAGACGCGAAGGTAAGAATCTACGCAGAACAGAACCATTACCAGCTAAGACCCGAAATTGAAATCCTAAGAATCACAGAACCTCAAAGCCCAAACCCCAAAACTTGATATTCCTTACAAGCCCGAAGAAGCCCTTTAGCCAGGCCGTTGAGGTTGCCCTTCGCCGAGCCGTGGCGGGCACGGCGAAGCTGCGGCGACACGTTGCGGCCGAAGGGAGGGGGCTGGAGGGGGCGGGCGAGTGACCTCTTGGGCGGTTCTTAAAGGCCACTACCCGGCTTCAGGGTCTTCTGGGGCTTTAGGGCTTGAGGTTATAATCAGGCTTTAACGATCTAGAGTTTAGTTTACGGTCGTGGTTTTTGGGGGGTTTCAGGCGTTCAGGATCAGAGCGCTTGTTAATCACTATGACGGTATCCGTAGGTTTTAGAGCTCATAAGATTAAGGGGTCAGTTGATCCGAGGCATTGCCTCAACCTACCAACACCTCCCCTATCCCTCCAAGGACCTCATAGTTAGGGCCCTGGACCCCTCAAGGACCCCATAATAAGGTCCCTGGAGGCATAGGGCTCTTGTTTCGGTTTAGAGCGTCTGTACTTCAGAGCTTAGGTTTGTGGTTTTGTAAGTAGCGCGGGGAATAGACCCTGAAAGCCCTCAACTTAGATTGGAAGAGCTGCGCAAGAACCCTCATATAGGGGCCTTAATGAAAAACCTGTGCTATTTTGGGGGGTTCCTTATTCTATTTAACTTTGATAAAATGGCCCCCCAAAACCCGCATTCTACTTATCAAGGCCCCTATATCATGCTCAGTACCGGAGAGCTGCCTAATAACCCTAAACCAACATGGCGCCCGAAACGAAAGTTTGGTTCTTTAAGGGTTCTACAATACCTGTTTTGGTCCCATTATGGGTCTTTTGGGCCTTTATAATTGTATAGAGTAGTTTTTGGGCGGTGCATCATGCTGTAACAACTGTAGTTCGACTTCTGCATGTTTTGATTCGCGCTTCCATAACTGGACCCTTGCAGGAACCCTTAATACCCATAGGCCCCATAGTCGTGCCTTTGGGGGGTTCATATATAGAATCCTATGAGGTAATCCCAAAAAGGAACTACTATGGGGCCTCTGGGTAGACTCTCTGCATGAAGGAGTCGTTAGAGGATGGCCTAAGCCGCGAGGCCCAAGTAACTCCTGAATCTCAAAAACAGGCCAACAGAGAATCCAATCGTTGGTTTTTAAGACTAACCTCAAACTATCAAAGCCTATTTTTATAGGTTCTTGTGATGCATCCCAACGTAGAGCGCATGTGAATTTATTGGGACCCTGCATGCTCACGCCGCAAAAGCTCTTCTGAATCGTACAGACAGCTGAGGACCTCTCAGCCGTCGATTTCGGAAAACTCTAGATATCCTCCCTCAGCAGCCCCCCCTGGCACCATCAAGCGCCCTCTCGATCCGACGACACGACAACGGCACATAGAGTTGTGAAACACAGCAAATATGCAAGTTCACACCCGGAATATTATTCGATATATCTACCGTTGCCCGTTTCGCAACGGCCTCGCAATCTGGATTTCGATTTGATGGCTCCGGGGCTCGGGCATCTGATTTGCGCAGAGACATTCGCAAATCACGTGTCAGGCAATCGACGTAGGATCTAATTACATTGGTTCGCAACATGGATCATACGTGACTCTACCGAAGCAGCGGCAAGACATGACGGGCCCCGATGGGGCGGTCTCCTCCACAGCTAGTCATCGTTGCTCCTATATAGGCGCTGAACATGTCCGATCAGCCTGTGCTCCTCTCGATTGTGCTTGGTCCGTCTGGAAGTACTATAGGGCCCTAAATAGTTACCTATACTATGTAGTTTGGGGGTCCTTATACTACTAATTATAGTTTTGGTATACTGGGCCCAAAATTAAAATCCTATTCTACGGATTAAGGCCCCTGCAGAATTCGCATCACAAGAGCTTTTATTTGGCATTACTTGGCAGGTGAGAGCTGTTTATCACTGCTGGACTGGTTCTGAGCGTGCTCTGTAAGTGTTTGGGGTTTACGCTGTCATAATCCGTATTACGTACTGCTAGCTAGTTTAGGTTTGAGAGCATCGCGTTGGGTATGGGAAACGGGTTGTGCGCCTTCCCTAAACCTTTAAACCCGTATGCCCTAAGTCCCGTAAGCCCTGAATCCTTTGGCGGCGGGTTTCAAGCCTTAAAACGAGTCGGAGTGTGGGGCTTAGACTTTCGGGTTTGGGGTTTGCTCACATCTACACAGGATACTTCCTAATGCAAAAAGTAGCCGACATCGAGCGCCAGCTTGAGATAAGCTGTTAGTATCCAGAGGCTCCATAGTAGTTCCCTTTTCGGGCCTACCTTAATATCAACCCCCCAAAAAAAGAATTACTATGGACCCTTAGGGTATGAGGAGGATCCCGAGGGCTTGCGAATCGGGGTCTCAATTAAGGCCTTCCTGGCTCCACCAGTAACCATCCTTGGGAGCTTCCCAATCCTTCAGCCCCAGGTTTTTAAAAGGGCCGGTACTTAGAGGATCATGGGACTTAGTAAGTAGGTTCCTTTAAAAGGCTCCTTTAAGGGATCTATATAGGGGTTCTATAAGGGGTAGTTTAGGCTACTTAGAGGATCATGGGACTTAGTAAGTAGGTTATAATTGGGGTTATAAGTCGTTCGGGGCTAGATGTTTGGAACCCAAGCTGAAAAGCGAAGGCAAAGATGAAATCAGTGCGTTTGCCATTCGGGTGTCTTGGGTGTCTCCCACCTTGGGGACGTTGCTCCTGAACTCAACCTGCATAGCCGACGAAGCCCCGTAACACCATTTCAAACTCACAAAGAAGCAACCAGCCCTTATATGTGGAAACTCAAACCCCAAGCCCTATAAACCTTACAGTAGAAGCCAGAAAGTTGGAACATGAATATATCCTCATGCCCCTGGTATAAAGTTTAATCATCCTAAATCCATGTTCCAACCTCCTGGCGTCCACCGTATGTCCCTGCTGCTCCCGCCCCTTACAACGAAAGCACCGGCAGACCTTGTCGACTTCAGCAGCCGGCTCTGTCAACGTCTCGGAAGCCAAGGCCAGGATTTGCTGTAGAGTTCTTGCGGTTTCAGGATCTAATATAGGGGCCGTAATTGTTCGAATAGGGTTTTGGGCCCATCATACCATAAATATAGCAAGGAACCCCCGAAACAGTATAGGCAGTTATTTAGGCCCTATATTAAGGCATTGCTGGTTCGAGTCTTTATGCTTCGCAGTTCCGAATTGTTCCAGGGCCAAGGTTTATGTGTTTTTAGCACGCAGAGCGGTCGAGTCGTTGTGTATACTGTATCGTTCACCTCCCGAACCTAGACCAGAAACACTAAGTTGGTCGCAATTTAAGCCGTGGGGGTCTAATGTTTCGGGTTCAGGGGTGCGGTCATGCAAGAGGTTTTTTGGATGCTGTCAATGCTGTCTGGTTGCAAGGGCAGTTGCAGAAGGGGGCTGTTTGATTCTATGGTGAGGGGGTTACAGCAGGTTGCTTGCAAAAGGGGGCTGCTTGATTCTATGGCGAGTAGGTACAGCATGCTGTTTAGGACTAGATACGGATTCCAGGGTCCCAGAAAGGTTTACGGTGCACAGGCCTTATTGGGGGTGTTGTGCTGAAGGATCCCTACATAAACACAAAGCAGACGAGCCAAGCACTCAGCTTTCCCATAGTTTTTCCTGCTGTCAGCACAAAGCTTCAGTGACTCTGAACCCCAGCAACTCGAGAACTTCGAACCACTATATCATATTCCAGGACTAGGAGCCTGCATAAGCTGTAATACAATTCCTCGGAGTAGTTAGCTACATGATAAAACAACCCAAGACGCCAGTTCAATTGAATTTGAGGATTTGAGGCCCTTCTTTGCGATTTTTTTTGCAAAAGCAAATCTCCATCCATTTACCAGTATGTTTCTAGCCCTACGAAAACCCATGTAAACCGAACCACTCTGAGGCCACAAGGCCGGAGCTTCACTCTTACTTCTTAAGTTAAGTCGCCGGACCCTCAGAGTGTACGGCCCTTGCAACCCTAGGCATCTAAGGACTCATTATTTTTTTAAGGCTTTTGGGCCCAAAGACCATGCTATATAAGGCTTTTGGGCTATGTTGATGCCCAGGGTAATAACCTTGTAAACCCCCTCCCCCGTCCAAAAGACCTACAAACCCTAAAGTCCTAGACTTCAAGCTAATCTCCTAGACTTCAAGCTAAACCTCAAAGCCAAAAATGCCGTGTGGAGTCCTGCCCTGTGACCCTCCCAAGCGAAGGCCTCGCATCAGAGCGCCACAGCCGCGATCAGCGAGGCATCAGAGGCCCTCAAGGCAGCCTCCTGGTGCCACCGAGTTCAGGGTTCAGGGTTTAATGTAGGGGCCTTAATAATTACCTATGCTATTTTGGTGGCTCCTTAATATTTTTATAGTATATTGGACCCCAAACCCCATTCTAATTATTAAGGACCCCATATTGGTACGGTTCAGCGTGTTGCTAAACAGGGTCCCATGTTTCCAGATCCAGAAGGATCCTGACACATTCTTAGGGGTGTGTGTATGAAGGATCCCTGTTTGTTTTGTCGTGTCCCGGTTTACGATATTGAACCAATGATTTGGTGCTCGGTTTTAGGATAGTAGTTATGTGGGTCACTATTCGGGAGAGTATATGATAATCAGGTAGTTGGACCCTTAGGGTAGGGGTCGGTTTGCATACAGGATCTTCGGGGAACCCTACACCCAAAACCCTAAACCCTGAACCCTAAACCCCTAAACCCTAAACCCCTAACTAAACCCTACAACCCTATAAACCCTAAACCCTAAAACCCTAAACCCCTAAACCCATTAAACCCGAAACCCCGGGTTCCGAAGCCTCCACACAGCTCCGCAGGCCTTTCGGCCAAAGCCGTCCAGCAGTGTCTCCGTGCCTCGGATGCAGTAGATGGTTCCCTGAATCCTAAACCCTAATCCCTGAACTCTAAACCCCTTATAATCCCTGAACCCTAAACCGTAAACTTAGGATTCAAGGATTAGGGTTTAGGGTCTGTTCGTTCTAGTGCAGCGTTGGGTTCAGGTTTTAGGGTTTGGGTGTTAGTCCTATGCCTCCAGGGACCTTATTCTGGGGTCCTTTCGGGGTCTACGGCCCTAGCTATGAGGTCCTTGGAGGGATAGGGTAGGGTTTAGGTATTGGGTTTAGGATTGAGGATTTAGGGTTTCGGTATTGAGTTGAGCTGGTCAAACTCGATCTGCCTTACCATTCATTCACAATTCATGAGGCCCTCAATGCCGACTATTCGGGATCATCTATATGTCTGTTTAAGGGTACCTTAGCCTACCAAACCCTACTTTTTGTAGGTTCTTAATATACACCCTAATATGGAATTTACAGGGACCCTACAAAAAAGTAGGTTTTGGTGGGTTAAGGTACGTCTATGTAGGTGTCGTCGGGTTTTGGAAGTCAGAGAATCCATCTTCGATAGCTTCGGTGTTGTTTCGCAAGAACGCCTGTCACATACATGGGTAAGTGTCAAAATTATGGGCCCTTTTAGCTCTTTTTGGGTACCCTAAATATTAGGTGCCGTATAATAAGGACCCCCCCAAAAAAACATAAATTTAGACAGCCACCCACATGTTCAGCTGGGGTGCCAAGGCGGAGGGCATAGGGTCGAAGCAAAGGCGTCACTTATAGCGGAACATCTTCGGTTCATGGAGTTTATTGAGTCGAGTCGGTGGTCATTGCTCTACTCATCATTAGTATATAGTATAGCCACGCTGTGACCTCAAAGACTCGATGCAGTTTCTAACTACGCTCCGCCCCAAGCGCTGTTGGCAACTTGATGAATACGGCATTTGAACCCCAAACCAGAATCTGCAGGCCATGACACCTGCACCCCAAGCCCCACTCGGCTTCAAGAGCACCAAAGCCACACCCTCGACCCAAAGCCGCAGACCGTAACTTACCTTTGGTTAGTAGGGAATAGAAGAATGGTAGTAATAGTAGTTATAATAATTGTACCCCTTTCCTCCGTTCCCTACTAACCAAAAGGTAAGATAAGCTCGGCGGCGTTTACTTACGTGGTAGTAATGGTAGTAATGGTGGTCATAATTGCACCCCATTCCTCCATTCCCTACTAACCAAAGGTAAGGGTTGTAACGTACCCTGAACCCTAAACCCCAAACACTAAACTACCCTAAACCGTAAACCCCCAAACCCTAAACCTCAAACCCTAAACCCTAAACCGTAAACCCTTAGCCCCAAACCCTAAACCCCAAACCCTAAACCCCAAACCCGGTGGCGTTTAGGCTTCGGGGTCTCGGCTTCCGGCTTTGGCTCTCGGGTGTTTGAAACATACCGACTTGAGAGCTTCTGGTTTAGGCCTTGGCTTTCGGGTTTAGGGTTTAGGGCTCAAGTTTCAGGGTTTAGGGTTTAGGTTTCAGGGTTTAGGGTTTAAGTTTCAAGGTTTAGGGTGTAGGTTTTGGAGTTTTTCAACCTCCAGGATTTCGGGTAGTCTTAGACTTCCGTGAAGCATTCCAAGCTCCAAAGAACGTTACTCGTCGAGTTCTTTTCAGGTTTGGATCTGTCAGATTTGGGCGTCGGTATTGCTGCACCTAAGCCATTATCACCGATTTACGAAGCGCTGTTCCGGCATAATACCCTCCAAAACCCTACTCCAATCTATTGCCCCTAGTTGTTTTGAAGAGCCATCTCTTGTCTTGTCTTGTCTGGTGGATTGTCGTGCCGCGTGTTACGGCGCATCCCAAAATCGTGAATTCAAAAATGGCATGCATACTGTCCCTTTGTCCAGTAAGCTCTGGAGGAGGCTCTGGGCCCTTCCGTCGATCTCGAAGCTATATGCCTCTCGATCCATGCTACGTGTTCTCTCCTAGGTCGGAACAGGGGCCGGAAGACGTCTAAGGAAACTTCCTCACTGTCAAAATCCAGTCCTTGCAACCTTTCATCCGCTGTGGGCAGGAGAGGGTAGGCAACGAGTGCAGCTTGGTCGACTCCTCTGAAGGTATCCCATTTGCCTTGCTTCAGTAACTTCTCCGCAGCAACAGTTTCAGCCTCTACATCCCTGATTTGCTGCGTGTCCATGGGAGGGACAAGGTCGCAAACGCGACGGAGACACTTGTCTCTCTGTTTGAGGTGCATTTGTACTTGCCTCAAACTTCCGAGCCACTTATTGCAGGCTAGGCAATATTTGCCAAAAGAATAGTGGCGTGACGGGCTCCAGATCTGATGTGCCCTGGCAAGGTGCACGCCAAGATGTTTCCTTAAAGGAAACTTGGCTGCGCACACATGACAACTGTACGGGGCCTGCAGGCTGGGTTCGTCCGTATCCTGAGACCGAGGGGGCACAGATGGTTCCTTCGCATCAGGATGGGGGGCAGTAGCACCTGTCCTCGTGTTGGAGGTTATGAACGCTTTGCAGGCATGCTTAACCTGCTGTAACCACCAACTGGGGTCCTCGAGTAGGGCGTCAAGGAGGTGCGGAATCGGAGAGGCTCCAAGGAGAGTCCGGACTTGTGGCCTGTACAAGCAAACTAAGTCAACGTCTCTCTCAACTTGGCACAGCCATGAGCTGGATTTATGATTGTGCCGGTGCTCGAACAGGAGGTATCGGAGGACCTCAGGACCATTCAAAGTCAGCTGGCGTAGAAAAGCGGCACGTGATTTGGCAAGTGCGAGCGGCGGTGAAGGGGCTTGGGCGAGCCCTAGCACTTTAAGTCCAGAGGGCTGGTCTTCCGGTGCAGCAGATGGGCACAACGCCCTCCAAACATTGATGTATGCCCGGTCCCATAGCCGTTGATGAATGGCGGCTGCAAGGATAACTGAGGCACTGGTATGGACCAGCCTCGAGATAGCAAGCGCCTGTAGGACAGACCTGCGCACCTGAAGAGGTATGTCCTTGTTGCTGAACAGCCTGCGCCGAAGGGGCTTTGTAACGCCGAGTGCCTGGGATTGTCTCAAAAGAATGTCGGGTCTGGGAACAGCATTGGAGGTGAGTATACCTCCAAGATGCCGGTAGGCATGGACGATGGGCATCACATAGCTGGCTTGTCCGACATCATCCTGGACTTGGATGCCAGGGCTACCCTCGGCATCAACAACTAGAGGTGAGCATTCGGCCCAGTTATGTCCTGCTGGGAGAAGGACGGCGGTCTTGGTGGGGGCATAAGTGAGTCGCATCCCTATGGATGTTGCTCGCGTCGTAAGGACGGTGATAGTCCTTGCAACACGTTGGACAAGTTCACTTGTTGTGGGCGCTTCTTGGGGTAGGAAGAAATCGTCCGCCCATGCTGGTGCCCCGATGTCCGCAGTGGTGGGCGAGCCTCCCCACGGGTGACGCTCTTGTCCGGTACCAATAGGGGGACAGAGTTCCTCTGCTCTTAGGGCCTCTGTAGTGCCTCTAAGGTACTCGCCGAAAAATAGTGCGAACAGAAGGTCGGCTGCAGGGTCACCTGGGCGTGTGCCGCAAAACGTTATGGTGAGAATGGCATGTGCGTCAATCCTAAACCATGTCGCATGGAGCATATCTTGAATCATTGCTCGCAGCTGCTCCGGTGTCCCGGCAGTGGTAAGGATGTCTAGTTGTTGAAGTCGCTGTAAAAGCTCACTCTGAGCAGCAGGTGGCAAATTCATACGTCGGAGGAGCTCATTAATGCCTCGGTCATCGTGGTCCCGGTGGACGATGGCTTGTCTGACAACTCTGTAGAATGCTGCCTGTACATCTACAAAGATGATCCCCCAAAGCTGTCTCTGATGATGTTTGCGCATTTGAAAGCTGCGTGCGGCAAGGGCAACTGCCTCTATGCCTACCCCCCCTAATGCACCGAGCTGCATGGGTTGCTTGTGGGCGGCATGTATGGGCAGTAATTGGTTGCGAAGATGACGGTGATATATCTTCGCTGGAATGGCCGATATGAGGATTGAGCGAAAATGGTTGCAATGAAGCGATTGCCCAATCTTCTTGGCGAGACAGCATAGCACACCGCCCCTAAACTCTATGGGTTCTCGGAGTGACAACGTGGTCTTCAACGTTATCGGTATCAGAGTGCGGGCAGCAATGGTTGGGCTGACTCGGAGGAGGTCGGCTGTGATGCCGTCCGGTCCGGCAGCTTTGTGTCTCTTCAAGTTTGTGATGATGTTTTCGAGGTCACTCAGAGTTGGGATGCCTTTTGACTCGAACGGAACGTCCGATAGTTTAGGCATATCGGCGCTGTCGATATACTGTCTCTGTGTGACCTCGAATCCTGCTTCTTGCTCGGCAAAATGTTGCCTCCAACATTCGGCTTTGTCGTGGGGAGTGGAGGCAAAGTGTCCTTCCTTGTCAAGGACTGCAGGCAGTGGTCGGATACCACTGCGTCGTGCTGCTTTAGCTTTGGGGAAGGCACGCCGAATGGCTTTATAGAGCTCAGCCGGGTTCTTGAGGTCCCGAAGAGTGACCTGGTGTACTAGATCTTCAAGATAGGCGATGCGATCTTTGGCAACTTGCTTTCGAAGGAGCTTGGTGAAGCTCCTGAGCAGGGCAAGGGCATATGCTTCGCTATAATCAAGCTCATAGAGCCAAGAATCCGCAACGCCTTGGGCTCGTACAGAGATCTCTTGGTCTTGTGTGTGGAGCCGGAAAGCAGCAAAGAGCAGGAGCATCCACCTTCTTTCTCGCTCCTTCTTTTCAGCGTGGAGGTATTTTCGCAGTTCTTTGCACCACTGCACTGTGGTAAGTGTCTCAGGGATGATGAAGTGTTGCATGGGGCGTGTGCTCCTTGGAGGTGTGATGTGTTGGCCAGTCTGAGTCCAGGCATTGACGAACCCATCATATTGTTGGTCGACGGTAGCAGACCAACTGCAGGTGGGTATGCAGTTGAGAAGACTTAGGCGGTAATGAGCCTCAGACTCATTGCAGTGTGGCAACGGCCGTA